ATTTTCCAACGTTTGCTGGGCTGCGCGGCGAATAACCAGGCAAGCGAGAAACAGAACAAGGGGTAACACACTGATCATGCTCGTGCTCTATATAAAATTGGCGGCTCCGGGCTGGCCCTTTTCATGTAATACCGGGATAAAAGTCACCTCGGCAAAGCTAGCCAGCCCGGTTCATGTGATCAGGCCCTTATTGTAAGTTGTATTGTTACGCATTTTGCACGTTACACGTTTAAAGCTTTGGAATTTGCCGCTTTGGTGGTCGCTTTTGGTGAAATCTCTACCCTTTCATATACCTGAAGCCTGAAAAAGGTACCCCTTTTGGGCGGAGCCTCCCCATATAGGCCATCATAGGGAGTACCCTCCCACCCGGGAAGTTGACTCTTTCTGAATAACCGCTCTCCTTCAAAGAGGCTTGCATGTGTTTCTGCCTATGAGAGAATGAGACCGTCGAGGGGGGAAGACTCAGCGCGCGGGGAACGATGAGCGAAGGCTTTCGAAATTGAATATATTCTCTTGTTTATATTGGGAGCCTTTGCAGAGAAGAAAGCTAAAACATAGAGAAGATCAGAAATAGGACTCCTTGAAATGACAACGTACCGTAGAATAAAGATCTCCTTTTGTGTCAATAGCCACAAAACGCCCACTTTTAATTCCTTTTATACGCTTCATTCCCTGTCCCATAGAGTGCATCTCAAGTTTGGCTAGAGTAAAGCAGAAACAGTGTGACTATTAGTAAAGCAAACTTTCGCTTTCACGTTAATAACTAAGGATGCCTCAATAAACGTACTGGCAAATACCGAATTTTTGAAGTAGATTATCGCTACAGTTTTGTAGTTGTGCGACTTACACTTCTTCCTTCGCTTTCACGAACGGCCAACTTTTGAATATCTTCTTATTGTGCGGTAACAAATAATTTGTGACGGTACACATACTGTAACTAGTTTTAACTAATTCTGATAATATTCCTGTTTGAGCTGACATACCGAGTCAAATTAAAAACAGTTCACCTTTTTCATGAACGCATATATTTTGTTCCCACTTCGGACATTTTCTGACAACATGACTGAAATAACTCTCCAAAAGGCCAGCTATACTGGCGCTCTTGCGTTTCTGTCTTTATTGGTTTGCAGACTTTTTGGATCCATTCGGCCCCATGGATCCGCACTGAGGTCCTTAATCAAGGTCATTCTATAGCGTCTCAACGACTGGATTTGTTAATGAATACAACACTCAGAAAAAGGCAATTCGAGTGACTTATGCTATCCTGAAATTACTAAAATCGTGAAGACTCGAGAACAGGAATAAAAGGCTAGGAAACATAAAAGAAGGGCAATTTAGGAAAAAGGACAATTATTCCAAGTAGACATGCCGTTTGTTTGAAACAGTGCCTTTTTCTAGCCGATTTAAACTGAAACATTAAAGCAAATCTCTAAAGAAGAACGTCCCTTTTCAGTCTAAGTTCATCACGCTGAAGCCTGGTTCGAAACTTGGTTCCTTTAAATAATTGAGAACCAGCGATTATTGAGTAAAAACTGAGGTTCTCCTGCAGTTGGCAATTGCTAACAGTGAAGACGACCGCATTCAGTTTACAAATCATTTCTTACCGTAACCACTAAAGCACTGTACGGTTCCGCTGACCGTCCCGTCTTGGGTGACCTGAAGGAAGACTCCGGTCTTGCCAAAAAGACGTGTAGTAGTGAAATTATGCGATGTTTGCGATGCAATCGCACCTATACTCGGGTTGGTATTGAAAACGCGACGTCGATGGGGTCGAGATAAGAAGAGTTCTTTTAGTCCACATGATTCCACGATAGGGTCGATTGATGCTGGTGAATTCGTCACATTTTGCTTAAGTACAGCAGATTGACAAACGTCCAGATCGAAGAGAAAAGAGAACAAGGTGTACTGTAAAAGAAAAGAAATCGACACGTAAACCTGCATTGTAAAGTTCTTTGTCTACGTAGGTTTCAGTGAACTGAACAATTTAGAGACACCGTCTGTTTTAATACTTCCTCAGCTGTGGACGTGACCTGGCAAATCTACAAGGTCATCCGTGCCACGCAGAGGTTTCTCAGTGCCAAATTTAAAATCAGAACAGTAAACTGATCCTTACGGAAGAGTCACTGCAATTTGTTAGCGAACGTGACTTTCCCTTGTCAGAAACAGATCGAGGCGGATCACTTTCTAGAATACAAAAGCGTACAAAGGGGTTACTGAGATTCAACAAGGAATCAATCCAAGACGTGCATACACTACCAACCAACAGAAACCTTTTAGTATACGAACTTCTACACTAGTGTCACCCACCAGGCGTGGAGAAAGGCTTCATCAAAAGAGAAACGCTCAGGCCTCTCAGGACTAATTCCTTTCAAATCACTTTTGAGGAAAATATCAAAAAGACTTTTGTTCTTGGCCCCAACACCACCTTCATGACATCTATCTTCCGGAAAAAGACATTCACAGGTCTTTATACTAAATGGGACTCTTTCACTCCTCCGTCCCAAATACAAAATAAACTTAATCCGCCCTCTGACTTGTCTTTGGTACCAGTTCTTTGCTGCAATCTGCCCTGGATGATCTAAGAAAACTTGTTCTTCAGAATGGTTACTCCTAAGGAATAATCAACTTCCAAGTCAATGATGTTTTAGGAACATCTCGCTTGCTTCGGTTTCGTTCCAGTTCCTATGATTCCTAAGAGGGATGTTATTAATTTGTTGCCTTATTTAGGTCTTCAAAGCAACCAAATTTCTCAACGCCTATGAATCCTGTATTTACCAGTTTTACTCTTGTATTCATTTAAAGATAATTTTTCAAAACACCTGCCGTATTAAATCTTTCCTTCCATACAATGACCACCTTAATCGCTCTCAAAGATCCAAAGTCATTTACAAAGCATGTTGTTGGGATTGTAATGATTTTTACATTGACACTGAACACTTCGAGTCCCTAACAAAATATGATCACTCCTCAGCTATTGCACAGGGTCCAGAGGAGATGTGTTTGTCGTTAGAACATCAAAACCCGTCGAAAACCTCTGAAAAAATGGGTTCTTTTGATTACAAACATTAACCACAAAGGACTGCAAAGGACCGCAAACGAATATGCCGAAGAACGTAGGATCTATAAAGACCTGATCAGCAAAAATCAGGGGCACCCAACGAGAATATAATTCAAAACCACTTAAACATAGCATTGTTAAACGTATTTATGTATTTAAACGGTAGATATTATCCCCTAAAAATTTTTCATCTGTTCGGATTTCCTAGCTGGAAGTCTAGTGATTCGAAAATTATAGGGATCAAAACTTGCCTTTTCGAAAATTTCAGCCGGAAAAAAGGCTCCTCAAAATTGTAGGTGTGTTACGAGCCAAAATGTAACAATTGACGCATTTTGCGTCAAAAGTTGTTACATTTCGGGTTAATGTTACATTTCGCGTCAAAAGTTGTTACATTTCGCGTTAATGTTACATTTTGCGTCAATTGTTACATTTTGCGGCGTAACAAGGTGACCTTTTTATGGCAAAAATGAGTTTAAAATGGGCAATTATACCATTTTTTAGATGTTCGAAAATCCTAGGAGAGGCAGACTAGCAAGAAATTTTGCAAAAAATGTTCAGAAAATTCTAGATCTCAAATCGTCTTCCGAACAGATATTTTCCGAAAATTGTCGTTGGGTGCCCCTGAAAAATGAAAAGTAGACATATTAAATTCTGCAAGCAGAATACTGCAATGCTGATCGTATTACGTGAAACCTCTGCAAGACATCAACACGACACCGAAAGAACTCAAAACAGAGCGGGATTGTAGCCATAGACAGCTGTTTCGCCCTCTTTGGGGCTCGTCAGTATGGCGTAACAACACAGAAAACTCCACAAATGTCCAGTGCTGGCCACAAGATCCCTACTTTCCTTTTTCATCCTTAGTTCCACACTTCTCAGAGGTGTGGAAGTGTGGAAAAGTCTGACAAAGTCAGGATAATGTCACACTTTTCCCCTGTTAAGAACCCCTTGTCATTCTTTACTTAGTTCTACACTTCTCAGAGGTGTGGAAGTGTAGAAAAGTCTGACAAAGTCAGGATAATGTCACACTTTCCTCCCTGTTAAGAACCCCTTGTCATTCTTTACTTAGTTCTACACTTCTCAGAGGTGTGGAAGTGTGGAAAAGTCTGACAAAGTCAGGATAATGTCACACTTT